ACTCCCCCCCTCCCCTCTCTCACTCCCCCCTCCCCCTCTCACTCCCCCCTGCCCCTCTCACTCCCCCCTCCCTCTCTCACTCCCCCCTCCCCCTCTCACTCCCCCTCCCCCTCTCACTCCCCCCCTCCCTCCCTCACCCCCCCCTCCCTCACCCCCCCCTCCCTCTCCCCCCTCCCTCTCTCACTCCCCCCTCCCTCTCTCACTCCCCCCTCCCTCTCCCCCCTCCCTCCCTCACTCCCCCCTCCCTCTCTCACTCCGAAACGTCGTGATTTAATTTAGTTGTTTTCATTTATTTTTACCTACGTGACTTTACCGAAAAAACAAAGAGTATGAATCCTTGCAGTCACGAAAGCTTCAAATCTAGAAGGAGTAGACAATTCCCCGACTCTCACTTGTACCTCATAGAACTACCTTTGAGATCCCGACCCTGACTATGCCTGCTGCTGCTGTGTATTTGGAGTTTGAGGTCTCTCTCCCCGTGGCCGCATGGATTTTTTTCTCCAGGTCCTCGGGGTTTCCCTCCACATTTATAATCAACATGCGTTCAGATCAATGAGATTATTTTGGCTGCGATCATTTTCCACATGGTGAGCTATTTTCTTGAACTGTCATTTATTGCCAGATCGCTTTTGAAAAATAATCTGAAAGGTCATTGGGCTTTATCTGGTAAAGTAAAAATAATGTAATTCTAGATTTGCAGCTTTCGTGACTGCAAGGATTCATACTCTGAGTTGTTTCGGTACAGTCACGTGGGTAAAAAATGAAATTAAAAATAAGAATTAATTTTAATTTAATTTTTTACCTACGTGACTTTACCGAAAGAACAAAAAAGTCACGTAGGTAAAAAATGAAATTAAAATTAATTATTATTTTTAAATTAATTTTTTACCTACGTGACTTTACCGAAAGAACTAAGAGTAAAAATAATGTAGTTTATTTGCATTCATGGGAGTGATTTGCTGAGCTTAGTGCTCCTATCGTGTTGTTGTATGGTTTGTTGTTGTAACGTTACGAGCCGCCCCGACTGGACATGTGAAAAAGTAACCCGTAAAAACAAAGTTTTTCACTATAAATCCTTTATATGCGTGGCATCGGTTTTATTTTATTATTCATTTCTGTTTTTCTTGAGTAAGAGTTTCATTTTTATCACATTGGTATTTTAAATTAAATATGAAAAACATTTTTTCCTAAAAAGTGGAAAATTTAGGAAAATTTTTTTCACGAACATAAATTGTCACGCATAACGAGTCTGTGTGCAAAATGTCAGCTCGATTGGATCACGGGAAGTGGGTTAAAAAACGACCGAAAGATTTGCACGGTCGTAAGCAAGCAAGCAAGTGAACTTAATATAAAGGATTTAAAAAGAGCTTTACAGTTCATCGGATTCCTTCTGCAAGAAATTGTTCTCGATCATTCCCCCCCCACCCGCCGGTCTCTTTGGTTTCGTCCAGGAATCAGAGACGCAACTCCCCCCCCCCCCCTTCTTAGGTGACGTCACGACGTAATGACGTCACAAGACGCGTGCCGAAGACGCTCGCGGGGACGTCACGCGGTCACAACCCGCTCTACAATGACGTCACGACGGGCGCGTTCCTGTGAAATGACGTCACGCTCGGATTTTTTTGCACAGCTATTCATGCCATTTGAAAACTGTTCATTAAGAAGCATTTTAAACGTAACCCTTATACACTCTGCCCTATTTGTGTCGTGAAGAAGGGGCCATTGGCCGAAACGTCCCCAATTATATTTTTAAGGCCAATGTTATTGTCGGATGTGTTTAGTTTTATTTGATTTACATTTCCACATGAGAAAATAGAGTCCTGGAATGTTCGTTGCATGAGTCACAATGATTATGTTGTTAAATCTGAGAGCTGGATTTTATCCATATTAAGTGAGGAACCAAGCTGAATGTGTACCATGTCAATCTTAATTTAAGCGTATCTTTTTTCTCTCTCTGGTTTTTTGTTTTCTCTCTCTGCCTGTGTCCTCTCTTTGGAATTTTCACACTTAAATTCTAACTTAGCAATCTTTGAAATATGTAATCAACCGGGCTATGCGTTAATTGTGTGTTGACCGACTCTCTGTGTTGCATTACATTACATTTCGATATTTTGCTAGGTTATTTAATTTTAGTGTGTCTTTCTCCTAATTTTCAAGCTTGCGTACCGTACCACGTTGTGTTCTCTCTCTGTATCTTTATGATGTCTGTCTGCTTATATGTCCGTCTATAGTTTTCTGGTTAGATTTTTGATGCAATTTATTTCATACCTGATGATGATTGCTTGTGTTGCAATCGAAACGTCGTAGTATGCTATTATTTAATTTATTATTTTATCTTTATACGTGACTTTACCGAAAGAACCAAAGAAGTGTACCATGTCCTCCAGTCATTACGTTACAAGGCTGAGACCAGCACATCGCTACACTGAAGAAGCAAGCTTAATCAGAAGCAGTGGCTGACATGCGGATCTTACTCAGTCTCATGGGTGCCAGCTCAAGTGTCTGGACCTCCGATCCACCCAGGCCACCTCGCGAAATATCAATATGAAAAAGAATGTTTACAGCATGGAAGTGGAGTCATTTCCCCTGTTCTGACGGGAAACGCTGCGATTGTTCATAGACCCGGCAGCATTGGTCACAGGACACTGCAACATCGCTCACACATTACGACAGCGACGGCCAACTTGTTATGGATATTGGTCGCGAAAGCCCAAGTGTGAAACTGGGGTTAAGTCAGTGACCCCTGACGATGCAGTAGCCCCGTGGCATCGAATTCCATCTGAAGTCGCTCCCTCGTGAGACTCGAGATGCGGAGTGGTTCCAGGACAGAAGAGTCCCCGTCTCACGTTGGGTTCTCCAGAAGCACGACTGGGACGACATTTCGTGATCGAATCTCAAGCGTGCAGTTTTCATGACTTTTAAAGAGCTGTGAAACGCTCGCGACTCCTGGCTGCATTTTCCATGTGAAACACCGCACGTGTAGAGACCCTGACAATGCTGCCAGACCCAGGCGACAGACAAGAGCACAATCACAGACATGTTCTTGTATCTTTCGGGGGAAATAATAAAATAATAAAACAATTAAATTCTCACGACGTTTCGGCCACAACACAAGCAGCCGTCCTTAGGTGAAGAACAGAGCTGTCGGAAAGCTGTTCTTCACCTGAGGACGGCTGCTTGTGTTGTGGCCGAAACGTCGTGAGAATTGTATTGTTTTATTATTTTATTATTTCCCCCGAAAGATACAAGACTTTACCGAAAGATCCAAGAATATGAATCCCTGCAGTCACGAAAGCTTTAAATCGAAATCACAGACATGTGACGTGAGTTACATTGAAAACATTATTCTGAAAGAGGGCACAAGGGTTGAAAATCCAAACGTAACCACTTTACAAATGTAAATAACCCTTTACAAACATTTACATAAACGTCTCACCACTTGCGAAGTAGTATCAGCCACGTGGTCTTTTGCGAGTGTATTTCAGCAGTATTGGATCAAAACAAGCAAACTCTGGCCCGGTTTTGACAGCATCTCATCAGCGAAATTTGGTTTGCCTGAACCAATGCTGAACTATATTCTTGGTTCTTTCGGTAGTCACGTAGAAGGGAAATAATAAAATAACGCAAATATATATTAATATAGAACAATATAATTAAATATTTATATTACTTTATTATTTCCCTTCTACGTGACTTTACCGAAAGAACCAAGAATATGAATCCCTGCAATCACGAAAGCTTTAAATCTAAATTCAATGCTGAACTGCTGGATGTTTCTTCTTGGTTCTTTCGGTAAAGTCACGTAGAAGGGAAGTAATAAAATAATAAAAATAAAACATAATAAAATAAAATAATTCTCACGACGTGTTGGCTACAACGCAAGCAGCCGTCTTCAGGTGAAGAATGAGACACTACCAAGCTAGGAGCTTATATATACGCTGGGTTGGAGGTGCAAGAAGAGCGCCTTAACAAAAAGAATGTGCATATGAAGAGGAATTTAGCATATTCATGGAAAATGCGTAGGAGGTGGGTGGGGGGGGGGGTTTCATAGTCATATTATGCCCATGGATGTTTATAGACAAATCACTCTCTCCGAATGTTGATCGGTGGCCCACATCAAATCCACGTGCAGGTGGCAGCCGGGAAACTCGGCGATCACATTCCTGAGCCGTCACTGAAGAGAACCTCGGTTCAAATCCAGGTACGAGCCACCTGTGCTAAGATTGAGTTCTCAAGTGAAGCCAGTTGCTAGCCTCGGACGAGTCACCAATAACACTGGTCAACACACTTTCTCTGGCATAAGGTATTCCAACGGTTTTAAGGTAATTTTGGGGTGCCGATTACAAATCTGGCATCAGTTTTTGTCTATCACATCAGGTTTTTGAGATATCAAAGATTGCATTTTCAATAAAAACTGCAGAATAAAAATATTAAATAAATGTGGATATCTACATCAAATGATATTATAAACACACTATCCTAAAAATACAGCACCATATTTTAACACTAAAACAGTCACTGACTCGCAACAACTTGCAATCATAAGTGACAGAGTTAATTTCGGGTAAAATCAATGAAAATGGGGTATGCCGATAGCATAAAAATGAGATGTGATAGAGCAAATCTGAGATAATCAGATTTAGAATCAGCACCCTGAAATTAGTCTAAAACAGCTGCAAAAGTCCAGGCCAGAAAAAATGTTTTGTTGTTGTTGACCAGTGTAATGTCACAATGAATTTGGTACATTTGCATAGCAGAGTGCGTGGGAGAGTGCAGATAAGAAGTCCCCTGAAAGGGTCTCAGAGGTAGTTCTATTACATCCCCTTCTGTGGGCTCTTCTCTAACATGGGCCGCTGTATGTCTCTCCGAGATGCGGTGGCATTGTGACGCGTTATGGATCCACAATATTTCATGCTGCACATTAACCGATGGGACGTGACCTTCCCTCAAGCAGACTGTGACCTCCGATCCCTTTTGAGAAACACATAGACACACGTCAATGCAGGTAACAGTGCATTTTATTACACAGTGACAAAAACTGAAATCACGAACTTCAAACTCGGTCGTGTCGTGTGGGCAGACCGAGACGTTAAGGCTTGGTGTAAACCGGCACCTTCACACGCTCAATGTTACTGCAAAAAAAACCTCGCCGCTTCGCACAAGGCTATGCTGTTCACCTTTGGCCGGTCAGCTAGGCTTGCTTTTTTTTCATACTTTACAACCAAATAACGATAACAACAAGAAAAACAATAAAAATAGGCAGGCAAACGCATGAAGCATTAATTACTCTAAAGATAATGTCACGTCTCGGCAAAGCGGAGTGAGGCTGGGGCTAAGGGCACGGCGTGGCCAGACTGACTACTCGGAATACAAACTGCCTCCTACGAGGGACACGAGGAAATACATCTACCTGCCTGGGAACGAACTCGCCTAGCGCTTTGTGTAGAAATTCTAGATTTGAAGCTTTCGTGACTGCGAGGATTCATACTCTTAGGTTTTTTCGGTAAAGTCACGTAGGTAAAAAATAGAAAGTTAATAAAAGTAATAAAGGAAATAAAATAATAAATCACGACGTTTCGGAGGCAACACAAGTCTCCGTCATCAGGTGGGACCGTCACAGCTAAAATTACTGCATCAAGTGAGGAAAATTCCAAAAGACCAGCCCCCCCCCCCGCCCCCTTAACGTGTATTTAAGGGCTGGTCCTTTGGAATTTTCCTCACTTGATGCAGTAATTTTAGCTGTGACGGTCCCACCTGATGACGGAGACTTGCGTTGCCTCCGAAACGTCGTGATTTATTCTATTTCCATTATTACTTTTATTAACTTTAAATTTTATTTTCTACCTACGTGACTTTACCGGAAAAACCTTGTGTAGAAATCCATTTGGCTCGTCGTGTCAAACGTCATCGTGAGTCTCAAGAAGCAGCGGGCAGAGGTGGGGGCATCGAGCTAGATATGGTCACGGACGTCACCGATTGGTCAAATTTGACCAGGTGACGCCTTCTGTGCGGCGCACGATGCCACGCTTGGAATACGGCTCACCCCACGACTAGGCCACGTGGCTTTGGCAACAAATCAACACCCGTGCCGAGAGCTCAACACCAACTCCACAGAACCCACGACCGAGCTCACACCCCATCCATTCTGTCGTGGCGACTTCCTGTCTTTCCGACAGACCTGTTCTTCACCTGAGGACGGCTGCTTGCGTTGTGGCCGAAACGTCGTGAGAATTGTATTTGATTGTGTTATTTTTATTATTTTATTATTTCCATTCTACGTGACTTAACCGAAAGAACCAAGAAGATGAATCCCTGCAGTCACGAAAGCTTTAAATCGAAATTTAGACTTCCTTTTGATTTATATGAAGCGGTCACTCCTGGTTTGTACCACGGAGAGTCACTGAAATGCACAGAGGGGTCAGAGAATCGGATGGGGGTCGGTGAGGCGAGAGGTCACATTAAGAAGAAGCTGTGAAGGCATCACGGCTCTAGTGCGACTTGTCTCTGGTAGACCAATCTTCTGGTGTCCCTCGCACAAAGGCATCAAAACAACATGACCCTCTACTCCATTACCCTGTAAATACATGGACAAATACACGCTGGGCTTGAGACGAGATAAGTCATGAATGCAAAACAAAAACCCTTCATGAAAAACAAACTTCCGTATCAAAATGTCACAACTTCATTGATAAGCCGACGTGAAAGGCAGGCCACCAACACACGGGGCAGCGACGCGTCACAGCGCGACGCGCAGGGCACTGTGGGTGATACCGCTCGCAGCTGTTTCGGGGAATCCCACAATGCTCAGCGAGTCTCGGGGGCTTGCCGTGCTCGGAGTGGGGAGCCGAGCTGTCCGTGCCGTGGCGCCGCGTTTACTACTGCGGAGCGGGAAAGTCGCGGTTCCTACACGGCACGAACGCGGGGCGACGGTGGCACGGCGGGGGAGTGTGGCCGGAACGTGATTGCAACGATCGCACTGTTAAGCGATTTTTAACCGGTGCCAGAAAAATACAAACACGCGAGAGACCAACTTTGGCAGCAATATCTCTTTCCCCATCATAAAATAAAGCACATGCTCCAACATGCTTTAGAAAAGTTGTACGAGCACTGCCTGATTTTGAGGACCGTGCGATGAACCAGGCTCCCTTTGCCCGAGGTCCCTTGTGAAGACTTAATCCTTCAGTGTGGAGTCAAAGGACACTTAGGTTTACTTGGGCTACGGAATAATCGTGCCGGATGATGAATTGTATTTCTCAGCAATGTGCCATTGCCGTCTGCAGGGATTTGTTCTGCCCGAGGCGCTGAGAAGCCACTGCTGATGCGCAACTACGGGAAATCCTCGCTAGCCGGGCCCAACACGGGAGGGAAACTCCCGCCAACGTTCAGGTGAACGTTCAGGCACCGAAAGCGAGACGTTTTTGACTCCAGCAAGGCGATCGTAGTCAGGCTCACCTCTCAAATGTCTCCACCGTGTGGGGACAGGCGTGGTTCGGGGAGAGGGTTGATGTCAACGTGGGCAGCTCAGTTTCCAATCCGACCGAGGGATCCACTGTTGTACGCAAAACTCTTCCAGCCACTCCCTCCCTCCCTCCCCTTTGTGGGGTCTACCTTCTCCCTGCTAAATCGGAAACTAGAGCTCGGGCGAGTGGTCGCATTCGATGATTAATCAGCGCATTTGAGATATTTCAATTTGAAAGGTGCTTTGTAAAATGGAGGTCATTGTTATAGTATAAAGCAGAAGGAAATCTGAATTCACAACTCTGTATGTGGTCGATTATTCAGGCACCTTTAAGAATGGCGGCCACCCCCACATCCTCCCTCGTGAAGGCAGGAAACCCCCTACGAGCCACACCCAACGTGACGTGGATGATGACATCACTGTCCAGTGAGCACACATGGCTACAAAAGTGAGGCTTCCCCCCCAACCCCCCAGACTAATTCGATATTATCTGTGTTCATCGAGTAAACGAACCAGTAATTTTTTGGGAAATCGATTAGTTAAGTAACTGGATATCCCACGTGTAGCGCAAACATCTCGCTAGTTGAATCAAACAATGGCGGGCCCCGACTTGTTTAGGATATCCATATTCCCAGCTGCCACGAGTGAGCTTAAGCAAAGGGGGTGATGAATTCTCAAATCAAGGCCAATAGCAAGAATGAATCCTCATCCATAGGCAGGGCAGATGTGATACTCAGAATCGCTGCCTTTCCACGTGTACACACATAACGGAGTCTCTCCATCATCTCCAGCTGGGCCTAACAAAGGCCAGCAAAATTAGAGGGTTGTGGGTCAACTCCTGGCCATGGTGCTTCTCGCCAGGATGCCAGAAGGTTGGGTTATGGCCAGGCGAAGGTCAAGAGGTGGATTCCGGAGGCAAAGGAGTCTCTCTCGCTTGGTTAAAAGCTAAAATGCAATACAAGGAACGCAACTCTCCTCTCTCGTGTCCACACGCTTAGGCTGCCTGATGCAGAATGTGCAACGCGATTTTGAGGTTTTCTTGACAGTAGAACTACGTTTCTGGCACTAAGGCCACGACTTTCATCTTCCCAAATACAGCTCTTGTTGACGGAATGGCAGCCAAACGAGAGAACAGATGACCGAGAGGATGACAACCGCGCAGATGGAACAACGACAATTCTTGCGCACGAGACGGATTGTTCAATTGCAATACTGTTAGGCACGGTGATGGCAAGGGGAGCCCCTCATCCAGCAGTAGGTAGGCCATGGACAATGATGTTCATGTTGATAGATCAAATGACAAGACTGACATTCAGGCTGCCTTGGGACCTTCCTCCAGCTGCTCTTAAGACGTCTGGATGGATTTTTCGATTTAAAGCTTTCGTGACTGCAGGGATTCATCTTCTTGGTTCTTTCGGTAAAGTCCGAATAGATTCAGACGCTGTCTCCCCGACAGACCTGTTCTTCACCTGAGGACGGCTGCTTGCGTTGTGGCCGAAACGTCGTGAGAATTATTTTATTATGTTTTATTTGTATTATTTTATTATTTCCCTTCTACGTGACTTTACCGAAAGAACCAAGAAGACGTCTGGGTGGGTTGCTTTAGTTTGGCTCCGAGTCTCGGGGAATGGCGCCGAGTCGTACAGACGCTCAACGTGCTTACGAGTTGAGTCGGGCAGCTCACGAGGGACTCACCACCACCACACAACGCTGAGGGCACTTCACTAAACAGCGCTACTCGCGTAACTCAAGCTCGAGTTCTGGGTGAACGCGAGTGCAGCGTCAGACCACGTGATATTCACGGCCAATTTTTTATTATCCCTTCCCCGTTATTAATGGCCATTGCGTCGTGGTTTGGAGAAACGGGCACACTTTACCGTACGAGCTTCCCCTTTTTACATTAAGGCTGCTTTATGAAGAGAATCCTACCGGCTACTACTTCTTCAATCTCATAAGCGCTGGCAGTCCGAGGTTCGGGGAGGCACGATGGGTGCGGCAATAGCCATCGTTCAGCGTAACACCGACAGGAGCGGGTGGGCTCGTTGGCGATGGACCAATAGCGATAGCCGACTGTAACCACGGCGATGGTGCGAGCAGCTCCAAGCAGGAGGACCTAAAATGTTTTACAAATGGCAAGTTGCTTCGACGCTGAACCACCAGTCCGGCACCACGAGCGAAGCCGAGGCCGAGAAAGGGGCGATGCGTGCCGTTACCGAGTCCGAATGTCGGCGTGAAGATGGCGACGCGGCAGGAGCCCGCCGAGAGGCGTCCCCCGTACCGCCAGCGAGATGCGCTGGCGGCGCGGCCTCGAGGCGCACGCAACGACCCTCGTGCTCACGGCACAAGCCGCAGCCTTGCGTGCGCGTGACCATCGATTGCTTAACACTGATGCTAATTTTATGCAAACGTGATTTTAAGGGGAATGGAACGTAACGAGTAATATTGAGACGGTGTAAATGAGACAAACGCTAATCGATCCTTCATTGGTATCGTGACCCAAAACCAAGATTCGTTAAGCTGCTGAGCGGGGTTCGGCATCTTGCGCGTCGTGATCAATTCTGCTAAAGATATTTCCCTTAAAGTAAAATTTTACTTTTGTGTCGTCAAAGCTGCAGTGTTGTCAAATCTAACCAATGAGACACAGTACCCGGTTGCCAAACCATATTGAATTAGCTTCGATGACGTTGTTTTACTGCAGTGTCATGTTCCAGCAAAGCACGTGGCAAAGGACAGCACCCGTTGTTGTGCAGATAAAGAGACAGGAGAAGGAATCTCAGTAGTTTGGTGACATCACCATCCACGGGCTGCCCTCTTCGTGACAAGCGGTGCCCTGCGGCCTGACAGTTCAAACCAAAAATCGCCTCGAGACAACGACATGAAGCCATCGCCGCAAGATGAATTCAATTGGGAAAATGGTAAAATATATTTATTTTAATCTGTCGCTGAACGGAATGCAATGCTGTCGCCAAAGTGAAGGTTAACTTTGAGCTCGTGTGGTGTTTGGGGTTAACAGTTTTTTAGTTCGGCAACAGAGGGCTTGGGACGGATGTTCACCGTTAGGCACGGACATTGACCCACGAACCCGGACCACTCCCTGCTCCATTTGCCACGACTCAGGGTTGTGATCAATTCAGAATCAAATTTCCTCGTCTCATTTACACCGTGTTAAAATTATGTCGTCTCGTTCGTGCTATTGGCCCTTCAGGTACACCAGGGTACAATTTACACAAATGCTCGACTCGAAGACGCACGATCCAAGATGCACGTATCGCGAGCGTGGGGAATCGTTCCACTGTACGAATCAATGAATCGTGACCAGTTCCGTACAGCGTCTACGCTCGATGCCGATTACACCGAGCGATAAACGATGCGGAGATTTACCACTTGAAATTCATTCTCACGCTCAAGACACAAGCTCGCGGACGTCGTGCGTACAAGGGTCGGCTATTCCGTGGGAATGCTGCAGGCACCCTGGGTCCTAGCGGCACAAGGGGAAGCGTCGTTTTGATCGATTCCACGCCGCGACGCGCGGAACGTCACCGAATGACGGAGCGATACCGTGCTCCGAGCGCGACAAGTCGCTAAACCTGCCGGGATGAAAGGCGACGCCGATGCACAAGAGGCTCGTGCGCCACCCACCGTTCATCTCTATCGGCGGCAACGGTGCCGTCTCGTGGAACTTACGGGGGTAGTAGTGCCCACACGCAGGCACTGACGGGCGGCTCGTCACGGTTAGGCACCTTAGTCGGGTACGGGGGGGGGGTGGGGGGGGGACACGCGGGGCTACGGCACGGGGCTACGGCACGGGGCTACGGCACGGGGCTACGGTGGCAGGCGCCGGCGAGCTACAGCAAGCGGCAGAATCCGTTCTTCTTGCGCGTGCGGACCTGCAGGGCGGCGCGCGTCGCCAGCTCGAACACCTCGCGCACTCCCTCCTTGTTCTTGGCCGAGCACTCCATGTAGCCGAAGGCGCCGATCTTGTTGGCCATGTCGCGCCCCTCCTCCGACTTCACGGGCTCCTGGGGGGGCGGGGGATGAGGGTCAGGGGGGTTTCAAATTCCTCCACGCACTGATCCGGAGCAGATCCCACAATGCATCGCGGGGTGGCGACGTGACCCGGTGACGCTTTCGCACGTTCGTCGCCCGAGGTTCGAATCCGGCAGGCCGCCCGGATTAATACCACGGGCTGATTCACTGTGAAACACACCGCGCCGCGCTTTTCACGGCGGAGGGTAAAGGTACGGTGGCGTCGTTCGAAAGACGAGCAGGCGTCGTGGTCAAGATTGAGCAAATTCGAAATGTTGCTCGCAAATGACTCGAATTGGGATTAAACACTCGGCAACATCGCCCCCTGCTGAGTGAAACCACCGCAGACTCGTGAAACATCGTGCCTCCTGCGCTGTAGCCTCGTGCTACAAGAGCGGCACAATACCAAACACACACGATTGTTACGATTAGCCGGGGTGCTATGGGGCCGTCCATAAATGACGTCACGCACGGGGGGGGGGGGGGTTTGAGAAATGTGACGTCACATCAAAATGCGCAACTTTAAATAAATATAGACAACACGTTCTACTTAATTAAATAGACTTTGTAATAAATGTTTTCTCCTGCAGCGGTACATTAAATACGCACTACAATGACAATAGTTTAAAGCGATTTGAAGCATGTTTTATTTCTTGGGGAGGGCAGAGCTTTGTGACGTCATATTTGAGGGGGGGGTCTAACTTTTTGTGACGCCGTGTGACGAGGGGGGGGGGGGTCAAAAATCATCCAAAATCACGTGACGTCATTTATGGACGGCCCCTATGGCCCCCGCCGTATGACGGGAGAAAGGATTCCAGTGTGGCCGTGAGCCACGAGAGGGCGCTGTAGTGGCACACATCACATGGGGTGGCCCACGCGCAGATGTTGCTGTGGTCATTCGTCTCAATCACGAGGCAGCCAAGCTCAAATTCTGATGCGAGTCGACTCAACGCATCAGCCTTGTCAGGTCACCTCACACTCATTTGAACAGAGAGACACTGAAAATTGAGATTTAAATTTCAAGGGACAACCTCCACTTTGGGCTGTGTCTCAGCAGCTTTGCGACACGAACTGGAGGGCATTGTAGGGGTGCCCATCAGTGGTCAACTCATCACGATGACACCGAGATGAGATCAATCCCTCAAAATGTTCACTGGAACACTTCGCTATCATCTACACCACGTCCAGCACCTCCATAGAGAACACGCGGTGTTGAGGAGACCGATGCGGTTGTTAGCTAAGGGTCCTCTCTGGTCTATGTGCCGTGAAGGGCCATTGCCCGAAACGTCACCGATGATATACTTTAGTTGTGCTGGTGCACCAATGCCAACGCAGCAGTAGCTCATAAAGGTGGTGGTGAAACATTTGTGGTGGTGGTGATGGTGGTTTGCGGCAGAGCAATGATGAGAAAAATGTGGTCTGAATACACGTGGTAGATGGGTTCTGTAAGTTGTGTAATCTGCAATAATAACACTTTGCTATGTAATTTGGTATTCATCCCATTCACGAAGGCACCACGTTGCACAGACACGGTCTGCCAGTAGGAGGCGATGTTGCTGTGTGTAATCACAATTGAGAAATTCGCAGGTAATTTGTCAAATTTGCCACGCAATGGCCTACTCGTTTTGAATGACATCAAGGGTTTAATTTCTTTCATTCCCTGCATTTTAATTTTAATTATTTTATTGTTATTATTTTTTCTATCTACGTGACTTTACCGAAAGACCCAAAGAATATAAAGGGTCTGTTGGATGTCCACTGTGATGCAAGTGGCGCGCATCTGTACGACGGATACACACACGCAGGAATAACCAGGGCAGCCTGTCACGACTCGCCGCGCAGGTCACCCGCCATGCGGCTCACTCGCCGTGTGGGTCACAGCGTGAGTGACGCGCCGTGTGGGTGACGCGCCGTGTGGGTCACAGCGTGAGTGACGCGCCGTGTGGGTGACGCGCCGTGTGGGTCACAGCGTGAGTGATGCGCCGTGTGGGTGACGCGCCGTGTGGGTCACAGCGTGAGTGACGCGCCGTGTGGGTGACGCGCCGTGTGGGTCACAGCGTGAGTGACGCGCCGTGTGGGTGACGCGCCGTGTGGGTCACAGCGTGAGTGACGCGCCGTGTGGGTGACGCGCCGTGTGGGTCACAGCGTGAGTGATGCGCCGTGTGGGTGACGCGCCGTGTGGGTCACAGCGTGAGTGACGCGCCGTGTGGGTGACGCGCCGTGTGGGTCACAGCGTGAGTGACGCGCCGTGTGGGTGACGCGCCGTGTGGGTCACAGCGTGAGTGATGCGCCGTGTGGGTGACGCGCCGTTTGGGTCACAGCGTGAGTGACGCGCCGTGTGGGTGACGCGCAGTGTGGGTCACAGCGTGAGTGACGCGCCGTGTGGGTGACGCGCCGTGTGGGTCACAGCGTGAGTGATGCGCCGTGTGGGTGACGCGCCGTGTGGGTCACAGCGTGAGTGACGCGCCGTGTGGGTGACGCGCAGTGTGGGTCACAGTGTGAGTGACGCGCCGTGTGGCTCACGCACGAGTGACGCGCCGTGTGGGTGACGCGCCGTGTGGCTCACGCACGAGTGACGCGCCGTGTGGGTGACGCGCCGTGTGGGTGACGCCCCTTCCTCACCTGCTTCATCTTGGCGAGCTCGCGGCGCGTGGCGTCGTCGTGCCTCAGGTCCCGTTTGTTCCCCACGAGGATGATGGGGACGTTGGGGCAGAAGTGCTTCACCTCCGGCGTCCACTTCTCCGGGATGTTCTCTGGACGACGGCACGCACGGCCACGTTAGGCCTGCGCAGCTACGCCGGCCTCCGAGCGGGGCCCACACTTATCTTACATGGATGTTTATAGCGCCTTATTCCAATGAACTTCACAACAATTATAACATTGTACGTAAGATTAAAGTCGCTGAAATAAAGAGTTGGTTATTCAACGTGGTGGTGTAGTTATGGTGACAGGAGAACAGGCGGGAGTGATTAAGGAGGGGTGCGGGTAGTGATAGTGATTTGGGCAGTGATAGGGGTTGGGCTAGTGATGGTAGAGGTAGTGATAGGTGTTGGGGTAGTGATGGTAGAGGTAGTGATAGGTGTTGGGGTAGTGATGGTCGAGGTAGTGATGGGGGTTGGGGTAGTGATGGTAGAGGTAGTGATGGGTGTTGCGCTAGTGATGGTAGAAGTAGTGATAGGTGTTGGGGTAGTGATGGTAGAGGTAGTGATAGGTGTTGGGGTAGTGATGGTCGAGGTAGTGATGGGGGTTGGGGTAGTGATGGTAGAGGTAGTGATGGGTGTTGCGCTAGTGATGGTAGAAGTAGTGATAGGTGTTGGGGTAGTGATGGTAGAGGTAGTGATAGGTGTTGGGGTAGTGATGGTCGAGGTAGTGATGGGGGTTGGGGTAGTGATGGTAGAGGTAGTGATAGGTGTTGGGGTAGTGATGGTAGAGGTAGTGATAGGGGTTGGAGTAGTGATGGTAGAGGTAGTGATAGGGGTTGGGGTAGTGATGGTAGAGGTAGTGATGGGGGTTGGGGTAGTGATGGTAGAGGTAGTGATAGGGGTTGGGGTAGTGATGGTAGAGGTAGTGATGGGGGTTGAAGTAGTGATGGTAGAGGTAGTGATGGGGGTTGGGGTAGTGATGGTAGAGGTAGTGATAGGTGTTGGGGTAGTGATGGTAGAGGTAGTGATGGGGGTTGGGGTAGTGATGGTAGAGGTAGTGATAGGGGTTGGAGTAGTGATGGTAGAGGTAGTGATAGGGGTTGGGGTAGTGATGGTAGAGGTAGTGATGGGGGTTGGGGTAGTGATGGTAGAGGTAGTGATAGGGGTTGGGGTAGTGATGGTAGAGGTAGTGATAGGTGTTGGGGTAGTGATGGTAGAGGTAGTGATGGGGGTTGGGGTAGTGATGGTAGAGGTAGTGATAGGGGTTGGGGTAGTGATGGTAGAGGTAGTGATAGGTGTTGGGGTAGTGATGGTAGAGGTACTGATGGGGGTTGGGGTAGTGATGGTAGAGGTAGTGATGGGGGTTGGGGTAGTGATGGTAGAGGTAGTGATAGGTGTTGGGGTAGTGATGGTAGAGGTAGTGATGGGGGTTGGGGTAGTGATGGTAGAGGTAGTGATAGGGGTTGGAGTAGTGATGGTAGAGGTAGTGATAGGGGTTGGGGTAGTGATGGTAGAGGTAGTGATGGGGGTTGGGGTAGTGATGGTAGAGGTAGTGATAGGGGTTGGGGTAGTGATGGTAGAGGTAGTGATAGGTGTTGGGGTAGTGATGGTAGAGGTAGTGATGGGGGTTGGGGTAGTGATGGTAGAGGTAGTGATAGGGGTTGGAGTAGTGATGGTATAGGTAGTGATAGGTGTTGGGGTAGTGATGGTAGAGGTAGTGATAGGGGTTGGGGTAGTGATGGTAGAGGTAGTGATAGGTGTTGGGGTAGTGATGGTAGAGGTAGTGATAGGGGTTGGGGTAGTGATGGTAGAGGTAGTGATAGGTGTTGGGGTAGTGATGGTAGAGGTAGTGATAGGGGTTGGGGTAGTGATGGTAGAGGTAGTGATAGGTGTTGGGCTAGTGATGGTAGAGGTAGTGATAGGGGTCGGAGTAGTGATGGTAGAGGTAGTGATGGGGGTTGGGGTAGTGATCGTAGAGGTAGTGATAGGGGTTGGAGTATGCCTGGTTGTAGCTGGGGGGCAGGGACTTGCAGTAGCAGGATGATGGCCTAGGAGAGAAGAGATGGGTTTAAGGGAGGATGGGAAATGGGAGAGTCAAGGTTTCATGTGCAGTGGGAGTTTGTTCCAGCGGAGGGCAGCAAAAGGGAAAATAAAGGAAAGCTGTGACTGGGCGCTTGTCATCTCAAAACATTTTGAAAAGGCACCACGAGTGGCGGCCGTCTCTTGCAGTCTGAGGAGGAGCTGTAAGGGGCATTCAGTCTGTTGTAATTCCAATCGAGTAATTTGGGGGATTTTTTTTTATTTCGCAAATTTGGACGACAACGCCAGCGCACAACGGGCAACCCGCCGGGAACCAGACGCAGGATATTTACCGTCGGCCGTGAAGCAAACGGCGCGCAGTCTTCTGTGGTTAACACAGCCGAAAATAATCACCGGGGCGGCCGCTGGATTCAAACCGTGAACCAACGCAACAAGCGGCGGACGCGCCGCCGCTTGGCAGAGGTCGCAATCGGGTACCCGATACCCGTACCCTACCTGATACCCGGCTACCCGGCCAGGTACAGGTACGGGTACCCGTTTGCGACCCTGGTGCGGGCGGGTACGGGTAGGCCATGAGTCACTGGTGAGTAACCGTTTGTCACTCATTTCCCAACATCTTGTCTCTTCTCACAATTCAAGTTCCTAGAATCAACCCACCCGCGCCTGCAACATTGCTTCATCCCAGAGGTTGCAATCAGGTACCTGATACCCGTACCCTACCCGATACCCGGCTGGGTACGGGTAGCCGGGTATCGGGTACGGGTACCCGTTTGCGACCCTGGTGCGGCCGGGTACGGGTACGGGTAAAGAACCAAAACCCGTTTGCGACCTCTGCCGCTTGGCCACGTCGCCGCGCATGTGAGAATCTGAGCAGGAGAAGTGCTGAGGGGAAGGGGCGTACGAACCGAGGCTGTCCGGGCTGTCTATGGAGAAGCACATGAGGATGACGTCGGTATCGGGATAAGAGAGGGGTCGAAGGCGATCGTAGTCCTCCTGGCCAGCCGTGTCCCACAGGGCCAGCTCCACCTGGTTCACCACGGAGGAGCCAACATCACAATCAGCATCATCATCATTACCATCATCGTCACCAGCAGCAGCATCATTATTCCTATCATAACCAGCAGAAGCATTACTCTTTTGTTCTTTCGGTAAAAGTCACGTAGGTAGAAACAAAATAAAACAAATCACGACGTTTCGATCGCAACACAAGCAATCTTCATCACCTGCTTGTGTTGCGATCGAAACGTCGTAATTTGTTTTGTTGTATTTCTACCTACGTAACTTTACCGAAAGAACCAAAGAGTATGGATTCCTGCCGTCACGAAAGCTTCAAATCAAAGCAGAAGCATTATCAGCACCACACTTTACCGTGCGGCATTAAAACTAACCCATTCCGTACCACATAGCGGTTGAGGTGTTACGCGCCTGTAGGCAGAGCTTTGGAGATGGGTGGGTGGATCACACAAGGATAATTTGGAAGAACCAACCAACCTACAGGATGTGGAATTGACCAGCAGCACAAGAATTAGTTTGTTACCCCGCATGTATTATACTAGCTGTGCTCGTGTTCTCTGGTCATACATGTTGGGTTTCTCCAGGTACTCTGGTTTCCCCAAACAGGACCTTCCTGTGAGAGAGCCTTGAGACTCACTGAGGACTTTAACACGTAAGCTTTCGAGACCAATATCATCCATAATACAGGTTTTTTTAGGATTAGATCGTTGGTTGAACGACACAGGCTGTCTTAAATTTCGATTTAAAGCTTTTGTGACTGCAGGGATTCATCTTCTTGGTTCTTTCGGTAAAGTCACGTAGAAAAATAAAATAATAAATTAAATAATAGCATACGACGTTTCGATTGCAACACAAGCAATCATCATCAGGTATAATGAAATAGCGACATAGAATATAACCAGAAAACTATAGACAGACATATAAGCAGACAGATATCACCAAGATACATATAGAGAGCAACCCAGGTTACAGAGTGAGGTGATCGTCTCGGTGGGGTGGCCTTAAATAGACAGAGGGGGCGGAGGCAGAGAGAGGGAGGGGGTAGGGAAAACATTTACATGTCAATGAGTACGAAGGGAGGGGAGTAAGGTAAGCAGGCTTAGAGGGAGACAGAACACACTAAATTAAATAACCTAACAAAGTATCGAAATGTTATGTAAAACGACAATTTACCTTTTTCTCTCTCTCTGGGTTTCTTGTTCTCTCTCTCTGCCTGTATATTTAGTGTAATTTTCTCTGTCTACACTCGTTTTGTATCGTTCTTAGGTTCTGCTCTGTCTGTGTGTCTCCGTTCCTCTTTTTTATGTTTTGTCTTTCTTTGGAATTTTCACACTTAAATTCTAACTTAGCAATCTTTGAAATACGTAATCGACCAGGCAATGCGTTAATTGTGTGTTGACCGACTCTCTGTGTCGTTTTACATAACATTTCGATACTTTGCTAGGTTATTTAATTTAGTGTGTTCTGTCTCCCTCTAAGCCTGCTTACCTTACTCCCCTCCCTTCGTACTCATTGACATGTAAATGTTTTCCCTACCCCCTCCCTCTCTCTGCCTCCGCCCCCCTCTGTCTATTTAAGGCCACCCCACAGAGACGATCACCTCTCTCTGTACCTGGGTTGCTCTCTCTATGTATCTTGGTGATATCTGTCTGCTTATATGTCTGTCTATAGTTTTCTGGTTATATTCTATGTCGCTATTTCATTATACCTGATGATGATTGCTTGTGTTGCAATCGAAACGTCGTATGCTATTATTTAATTTATTATTTTATTTTTATACGTGACTTTACCGAAAAAACCAAAGAATGACACAGGCTGTGTCGGGTGGTGACGGATTTAACGACACATTTATATATTTACAACCTGTGTTGGGTGGTGGTGGGTTTAACGACACATTAATATATTTACGTGATCTAACACAAAAAAACCTGTATTATGGATCACTAAGGGCTGTATGCAGGCAGCCAGACACGAATCCTATACTACTTGCTATGAGATTCAAAGGTCAATGCCGATGATGCCCCCAGACCTCGCCAGTGCTCACGACACACGACACACATTGCGCTGCTGTGCAGCAGTCTCTGGACACCCGAGGTCTGCTGGCGGTTTCCCACAATGCAGTGCAACTGCGGCCCTCGTGACACCGTTGGCCGGGACGCCCAGCCGTGGTGGGAGCCAAACTGGGCAGCCCTCATCCCATTGGCAGAGATGCTGATGAGGTCACATTATTTATTATTACTAATAAATAATGTAACATGCTAATGGGCATATTTTTTTACGAGTAGCGCAGTGCGCTAACCACAAGACCACTGCTCCACTCCACCCCCTAGTGGGCTGTGCCTCTAACAGCACTTGCACCCGACAGTCTGTGGAAATGCTACATGGCGGATCTAACCTCTCTTCTGTCAAGCACACACACACACACAAGCGCCAAACAGGGGCATGTGCACGCAGCTACATACAGAGATCAAAACAAAGATCCCCCTACGGCCTTAACAGACTGTTGGGGAAAGTCCTGTTCGAGCGAGCACCTACCAAGGCCGGCAACGCCCAAGAGGAAGTGGTGTGACCAGTACCTCACTGAGTCACCATTGGCCCCCCAATGGTCATGTTAACACACTGCACCAGGTACTCATTTAAGGCTAAGACAACCTAAGGGAGGAGGCCTAGGACCAGTTAAAATATTCGTTATTGATCCTGCACGGGAATTGGTGCGTGAACCACGACACTACCACTCCCCGACATACACACACACACAGAGTCAACACCGACAACCGCCATTTGCCTCTAAGTGGCGGTGATGTCACCACGACACTTGTGCCAGGTTTGGTGCACTTATAGGCCACGTGAAGTGTCGAAGGTTCGCTGAAAGGAGGTCTCGGGACAGACTCAGTTGACAGATTATTGGCAAATGCACCACCCGCGATCCCTACTGCGACAACATTGTGCTTTGAGCCGCCCGGCACTCCGCTTATTGTTGAGAGCATCACTCCTCTGCCCTCCGCTGTTGCTGGAGGGCAACTGCATCTAACTGCCCAGTAGCAGCGTCTTTCACCGAGGCCTATCTTGACACTGCTTGTACGTCACCGACAAGTGCACTCAGCTCCACATCCTCCTCCCGTACTGCGTCAGCAAATCTCTTCTTCAACCCATGCTGTGCGCGTTTAGCCCCTCTATCCGGCCAAACAGAAGCTGCTTGGACATGTAATCGCTGGGAATGCGGGCTATTTGATTCAGCCAATGCGGCCTCGACAAGGCAGCTCACCAATGGGACACAGACACACACATGGACGCATAGACACAGCGAGACACACACACACACAGATGCACACGGATGAATGCACGGCAGTCTCACCTGCTTGCCGTCCACCTCAATGTCGGCGACATAGTTCTCGAACACGGTGGGCACGTACACCTCGGGGAACTGGTCCTTGCTGAACACGATCAGCAGACACGTCTTTCCGCACGCGCCGTCACCCACGATCACCAGCTTCTTGCGGATTGCGGCCATTGCTGTGGCACACACCCGTGAGCGCGCGCCGTGTAAACAAGCACACAAAGACAAAGTTCCACAAATAGCCCACACCGACTTGTCGGGGCAAGAGTGCTGTTAGCGAGCACCCATTAAGGCCGGCACAACACACTTTGGGGAAGTTCGGCCGTCAGCGGTGTGGCCTTCAACCATACAAATTTGTATCCCCCCCCAGTGCTGGTATTGATGACACACCACATCAGGTACTCAGTTATGGCCGAGTCACTCTTGGGGAGGCCCAGACCAAGATCAGATATTTCCCAATGATGTTAGCCATGGCTGACATCATACAAAGCTAAATCACTTTTCATGTGACACGAGTGTAGGTACGTAGAACTTCTTTTGCACCGTACGTAGCCCAACGTGCTCACCTTAATAGTGCACCTATTAAGGTTAGCACTGCACACGACGAGGCTGTGGTGTAGTGCACCATACAGAGGTGCCGTTGCCTCCCAAATGCTGCTGTTCACAAACTACGCTGGGTACCCATGAGGGACTGAGACAACCTAGGAGGGCCAAGACAGCCTCAGATACCACTTGCCATTTACTAAGGCTTGCAATCGAACACATGTACATGTGCGCACACACACACACACACACTTGCGCTCACACTAACGGTGGCAATTCACCCGTTAGAAATGGAATTGTTGTTGTGATGCTGCTGGATTCTCCAGGAGCAAAATGCCTATTCTTAGGTTTTTTCGGTAAAGTCACGTAGGTAAAAAATTTAAATTAATAAAAGTTGAATAAAAAATAAAATAAAAATCACGACGTTTCGGAGGCAACACAAGCTTCCGTCTTCAGGTGGAACCGTCACAGCACGATTGCTGCATTAAGTAAGAGAAATTCCAAGAAAACAGTCCTTGTATATATACTGGTTGAGGGTGGGAAGAGCCAAGGTAGGCCCTGGATATTATTATTGTGAGGTTCGGTGCGGTACCTTGGCTCCTCCCACCCTCAACCAGTATATATACAAGGACTGTTTTATTGGAATTTCTCTCACTTGATACAGCTATCGTGCTGTGACGGTTCCACCTGAAGACGGAAGCTTGTGTTGCCTCCGAAACGTCGTGATTTTTATTTTATTTTTATTTTACTTTTATTAATTTACATTTTTTACCTACGTGACTTTACCGAAAAAACCTAAGAATATGAATCCTTGCAGTCACGAAAGCTTCAAATCTAGAAGATGCCTCACCAGCGCCTGACCCCGAGCTCCACCTCGAGTTGTAGATGGCTCTTTCTACGCCACTGCTCGTTGCGCTTAGAACCAAATACAACGCAAACGCACTTCCTCAGCAGAGGCAATGGCCTCATTGGTTCAGCCTTTGCAATTGTGACCGATGCATACACCTGAACGCACAAACCACCATGGGATAATATTTCGAATGTATTTATTTTAAACCCTAAAATGAATGGACTGATATAACTCATTATGCTGAAATAAATTGTAAAGGTGATGATTGCACCTTGAAGAGGTTATCTGCTCTGATGAGGATGGTTCATAATCAGTAGTGACAATACAATGTCTCCCTGCCAGGGTCCAAGGTATTAATGTAATATCCAGCAGTCTCAAAAATGTGTAACGTTTGTAAATCCACACCATGAGACGCGTTCCCGAGCGTGACCAGAAGGTGTTGTACGGCGTGTTCACTAAACACGGGGAACGCCTTTAAAAAGTTGTATCATCTCCTGTAGATGCCACTGGTTCTTCGTGTTCTGCAGATGTAGATGCCACCACCGCCATCTATTGCGCGGTGATTTAACTTACAAACCCTCGATCGGAACAGGCATCTGAACATACGGACAGGTTTGTTTATACCTCTGATAGTTTTGAAGTCGAACGTTAGCAAGTCCAATGTTCACAAGTAGAGAAGTCCCCATATTTATTTATACAGGAGGAATCCGATGAGCAATAAAGCTCTTTTTCACAGATGTCCACGTAGCGAGAAGAGACAACGCTGCCGAGTGACAATAATAATAATTTCCACTTATTATGGGCACCATTCACAATGTCTCAAGGCGCCGTGCACAAAAAACATAATGCAGTAGAAACTGCGCGGCAAAATCAGAAGCAAATAGGAACAAAGCAATGGTTTAAAAATATATATCGGAACTTAGAGACATCAACACTGTCCGAGAGCCAGATGTCCAACGGTTTGGAGTTCCACAACGTGGCAGCCCCCACAGAAAATGCCCGATGACCCCAAAATTGCAACCAAGAATGAGGTATATGTAAAACGGCATCATCGGCAGATCTTGAAGACCTTTAGGCGAGGCATAAGAGATGGCCAAATGCCCCGAGTCACTTTCTCTGTGAGCCCCGGGTTAAACAGACGAGATCAAGGCAGCCTTTGCAAGATAGAAAAGTATCAGGCAAAGGCATCTGGACCGAGACGTTGCTAGGACCCGGCTGGTCAACCCGCCACTAAACCCCGCGATGATCTCAGTACGAGCGAATGAAGCGCCACCACATATTCGGCACAAAGTCGCAACTCCCTGTGAGCTACGGGTCACTGCTACAAACGAGACTCTCATCCTGGTCTCATGAGGTCTCTCCTGGTTAAGAAAAATAAACATGAAAATGTGGTACTGAAATATCTTTCAAAATGTAGATAGGAACGTATAAACATTTAGAGGAGGAAAAAACTAGCCATCTCACATTTGTGGACAGCCATATAAAAATTATCTACAGGAAATTAATGAGGAACTTCACAAAAGCCACAAGTTAGCAAGCAAATAAATAAATATGCAAATAAAAAACTGTTGGGCAGAACTGGACGCAAAGAAGAATATGTAAACATGAAAAACAGATAAACAATGTTAACAATAAATAATCAGTGTACATTTCGAGCTATGACAGACGGATCAGAACATTGACACTGACAACTAAAATTAAACAAGAGCTGAAACGCATGGCAAGGAGTATGCAGAGGTACATGCTGGAAAATACAGAGAGACAGAGAGAGGAACACGTGGATCAGGGAACAAACACTGAGAATAAACGTCAGATTGAATTTTTTTAAATTGCACTTGGGCAGGACATATTGCAAGAATGGGTGATGGCCAAGGGATGAGTGTGGCGATGGAATGGGAGGCTTTCGATTTAAAGCTTTCGTGACTGCAGGGATTCATCTTCTTGGTTCTTTCGGTAAAGTCACGTAGAATGGAAATAATAAAATAATAAAAATAAAACATAATAAACTATTGTCGCTCCAAGCCTGGAGTGTGTCATTCAGACTGTCTACTCGACAGACCTGCTCTACACCTGAGGACGGCTGCTTGCGTTGTGGCCGAAACGTCGTGAGAATAATTTAATTATGTTTTATTTATATTATTTTATTATTTCCATTCCACGTGACTTTACCGAAAGAACCAAGAAGAGGAATGGGAGGCGTTTAGATGGAATGACATCGCGGGATTATGAGGGACGGTGATGACGTGGAGAGGCATCCAGCAGTGGGTAGACAATTGCTGACGATCATGAACACTGTAACATATGCCGTCCTGATCGTGGAAACGTTGAATTTCCATCACTACCGAGGGGTTGTCAACGGCGATGAATGAGACCCTCTCATAATTTTAGCAGAGGCTTGGCTTTGCCTTGAACATATGGCGAAATTAAATCCAGAAGGGGCAAGAAAACAGAAGCAACCTCCCAATGAGCTAAGTTTAACTGGCGGTGTCATTCGGAAAGCCTCGGATACTGGAATGGAGGGCATTGGGAGGAGCAAAGTTGTGTAAAAGAAAAATGCAGGAGGAGGCTAGTCCACGGAGTGTCCTCCAGTCAGTGAGGGCGATGTTGTAGTCGCTGCCTCGATTTGGAGTCAGTGGAGGGATCAGAAGGGCACAAAGCGACATGGGAAGTAAGGAATATGGCTGCTGCATTCTGCATAATTTGGAGCCATAGTCAGGACAGTACTCGAGCAGAGATGTGACAAGGCAAGGAAAGAGCCTCAGCTGCAGAGAGGATGAGGAAGTGGCGGATGTGGGGGGGGGGGGGGTGGCGGTGTTGTGTAAGTGGAGGGAGGTTGGGAATGAGAGCTCAGGCTTGAGGCGAGATTAGATGCTTCACACACTCTTTGGGCAGCTTCATGCCAGAGTCCAGGAGTCAACCCAAACCTGGAGAGGAACGTTGCGACGAACAGTCGATCAAAATTTTATAATTACAGTAACTACTTTCTGTTATGTGACCACTCAGACCCTTTCTGAAATGGTGGCCACCCCCACATCCTCCCTCTCAGAGACAGGAAACGCTCCACAAAAACTAAGCCCAGAGTGACGCGAGGTGACGTCACCTAGCTCAGCCCATCACCTCCCATCCAGCAGCACATGTGGGAATAGAAGTTACTTTTACTAAAACTACAGTCGCTTCTGGTGTTGAGTGGATTCATGAAGCCAATAATCGGTAGAGTATTTGATTGTTTAGATAAGAGGTTAGTCCAGCGCTGAACCGGAGTCTTTACGAACGGTGAATGATTTGATGACCACAGCGATGTGGTGTTGAGTGTGTCTCGTTCGAGACCGTGTCAAGTGTAGCAGGAGATACGGATACCGAGGAGGAGGAGAAACTCCAACTCGTGTGACGTAACGAAGACACGGATAAGCTATCAAGTTATGTTAAGTAACATGGTGGTGAATAGTTGGCAATGTGACAAATGAAAAGTAGCGGTTTTGCCACAAAGTGGGACCCTTTTGGCAAAATAATTTGGTATTTAAGTCTACCAGTGTGTACGAGCCTTTTGTACCAATGTTTTTAGTTGTTTCATGGAGGCAAACTGGACTGGTTTAAATGTTTCTGAATCTTAACAGCCAAGTCTGCTAACTAGGGGCGATTCGATGAATTGACACAATTCAAATTCGATTTTACAACGTGAGTCTTGTTTAACACTGTGGTGAATGTAGTGTCCAGTTGGTGCTGCTTGGGTTACTATACGACGTGACAATTGATGGTTCTTAAAAGTGATCCACATCGAACGTATCAAACATCTCAGAATCTACAGCATATTTAATCGATGCATCCCGAGACTAATACTGTTAACTAAATTCAGCCACTAATTCTAGATTTGAAGCTTTCGTGACTGCAAGGATTCATATTCTTAGGTTTTTTCGGTATACCTACGTGACTTTACCGAAAAAACCTAAGAATAAATTCAGCCACGTTGCCAGATATTGCAGGGTGGTGGAAGCACAAGCAACAGTGAGGCCTCGACACGATGGCACAGCAAAGCAAAATTATAAACATGTACAGAAATTAGCTGTCAATATCGGGACACCCGGCAGCATTTAAAAGGTTATTGCACTGCTGACGGGACTGGAAACCAGCCCAGAGTTAACCGCCTTCATTCAACAATTATAACATTCATAACGCGCACACATTTCGCTTACAACGCTACGGAGGCGTGAGAGAACACATTTGAGAAAAAAAGAGGAGGCCTCATTCTGAGAGATTCTTCTGGAAAACATTTGTCCACATCATCAGGCACGATCAATCCACTGCTGAATGAAGGCCACCCTCTCACCATCTTTTTCTCTCGCATCGGGAGAAAAAAGAATCCATATTGTTTCTGCCACAAGAGGATTTATTTGATTCCATCTCCACAATCTAAGTTCTATTGGGCGTTCCCTTTTTTTGGCTGCCACTCTATATGGCCCAAAGGCTGATAAAGTAACATGATTTATTGTTAAGTAGGAAGACAGACCCGTCTCTATTCACGTATGATCGCATTGATAGGGCGTGTTATATTAAGTTACGACGATAACACTATTTAACATCAACAGTTGATGTTATCGGAATAAAAAAAAAGTTACTGCGGTTTTTTACTTATTGCAAAGTTAGACGACATTAACACTTAAAGTGCAAAAGTGCATTCGTGTCATTCGAAATGGAGTTGTCGCCACACGAATGAACATTAACACAATGACTACTGCGACACGAGATCACATGCTGCTTCTCTGTTGTACCTTTGAATAGTAACAACCGCGCGAATTAATGTCAATACATAATGAGTATTACTAGCTATCATTAACAGTTAATGGTATATAACAGTCGAAAACGTTATGTTAACACCACTGCTACAGTAATCGAGTAACATGAGTTACCATTCTAGAAGTTACGATGACACAAATAATTCACTCTTACCATTCTAACGTCAGTTCTTAACTTAGATCAACACCAGTAACGTTGATCACAGTAACACTAATTGACGTTGCCTCAATTCTAATGGTAACACGCGTTATCATTACCCAAAAAAAACCTGCATTATGGATCATTACCCTGTTTACAAAAGTAACCTTAACCTCGTTACCAGCGAAGCACCTGTTACCCGCATCAGCAATATCAGCAGTGGTCGTTACCTCCATCAGCACCGTCACTACCAGCTAACACTAACACAGTTAACGCCTCTAACCATTAACACCGGTGAAGGTTAACCAGGTTATCATGCTAACACGAGTTAAGTTAACCTCCATTCCCGCCGTAGAAATTGACACGTTACCTCCATCAGCACGTCACCACTGCCACCACTAACCCAGTCATCCGAACACTATTTAACGTTACCATGGCAACACGAGTTAATGCTATAACCAGGTTACCGGTACGCCACTAGTTAACGTTAACCCGCCATTAGTAAGTTTACGTTACTTTCATCACCAAGTCAACACCCCCCCCGTAACACGAGCGAGCTTTATTTAGACCATGGTAACGCTTGTTAAAGGTTAAGCTTGTTAAAGGTAACCTTGGTAACGCGACTTTTAACCAACCCGTTATACCGCACCCCCCTGAGCGTATGGCAGCTCGCCTTTGTTAAGTTGCTAAACTAAATAACGCGCAACAACTTGAGTGCGTGCGTCTACGCGTGGAGGTTTGTGCGCACCGCGTGTGTTTAGCTGGTTAAGTATTAAATGTTTATTATTCAATTTGAGGGGAATTTGAAGCCTCGGCCTAGCGCCCGGGCCCAGCGGCGGAGGCTTCAGCAGCGGCTCCCCGAGCCGCGACGTCGCCACTCGCTCAGGCGGCGGCGACTCACGCAGCGCGACACTCATCACAACCACAACAACCTACAACAACAACAACCTCAACAACAATAACAACAATAACCGCCACCACAGCGACCAGGGCCGCGCCTCCTACCTGAGCGGGGAGACTCCGACTGAGGGGCGGGGTTGGGGGTAAAGGGCGGGGCCGGGGTGAGGGGCGGGGCTGGGGGTGAGGGGCGGGGCCGGGGGTGAGGGGCGGGGCCGGGGTGAGGGGCGGGGCCGGGGGTGAGGGGCGTGGTCTGGGATGAGGGGCGGGGTCTAGGGGTGAGGGGCGGGGTTTGGGGGTGAGGGGCCGGGGGTGAGGGGCGGGGCCGGGGTGAGGGGCGGGGCCGGGGGTGAGGGGCGTGGTCTGGGATGAGGGGCGGGGTCTAGGGGTGAGGGGCGGGGTTTGGGGGTGAGGGGCGGGGCCGGGGGTGAGGGGCGGGGCCGGGGGTAAAGGGCGGGGTCTGGGGTGAGGGGTGGGGTCTGGGGGTGAGGGGCGGGGTCTGGGGGTGAGGGGCGGGGTCTGGGGTGAGGGGCGGGGCTGGGGGTGAGGGGCGGGGTATGGGGTGAGGGGCGGGGCTGGGGGTGAGGGGCGGGGCTGGGGGTGAGGGGCGGGGTATGGGGTGAGGGGCGGGGCTGGGGGTGAGGGGCGGGGCTGGGGGTGAGGGGCGGGGTATGGGGTGAGGGGCGGGGCTGGGGGTGAGGGGCGGGGCTGGGGGTGAGGGGTGGGGTCTGGGGGTGAGGGGTGGGGTCTGGGGGTGAGGGGCGGGGTCTGGGGGTGAGGGGCGGGGTCTGGGGGTGAGGGGCGGGGCCGGGGGTGAGGGGCGGGGTCTGGGGGTGAGGGGCGGGGTCTGGGGGTGAGGGGCGGGGTCTGGAAGTAAGAGGGGGGTGGGTAGAGGCTGCGTCGTGGATGCCGTGCAGGGAAAGTGTCTAATATTTGCTCATTGATCTTTGCGTGACCTCCCTTAATTCTGACCGCGTCCCCCCACGAACTCTGCAATACGATGTCTAAAGAAGCAGAGTCAGAACGTGATGGAGTCGTGGCACACGGTGATTACATCTGCTGTGGAATTGGGGGAAGCTGCCCCAGGATTGGAGGAAAACAATCAGTGATTGACCAAATATCCCAGTGTGAAATCCTCCTTAAATATACTGCAGTAGACTGCCACGATTACAGCGTTGTTGTAACAAGGTCACGATGTAGGCGGGTTATGCCCCATCTCTGTTAGAAGCTGACAAGCCCCTCCTCATTGACAAGGTTTGCTTGCATCAGCAGCTTTGGATATGATGACATCTTGATATAGTCAAAAGGTATCAATAAACATAGCATTGAAAAATGTTGATACTCCTACTGATGCTCCTGCTGTTGTGGAGTGACTCATGCAGCCAGCTATGGCTACAGGGTTTTGGTGGTACATGTTGTTTATTGTAAAATTTCGGTCACAGTTCCTATGATCACTGTTACATTGCTTTTATGGCTTTATTTTGGTGATTTCGAAAACGTTTTTTTTGGTTTGGCCATGTTTGTTTGTTGCAGTACGGAGTTAGAATAATGGCTTTAATCTAAGTTGTCTTGTGGTTGTTGTTGTTGTTGTTTGACTTGCATCCCACTGGGATTCTTGCACACAGCGTTGGTGTACGGTGCTTTTTTTGGAAGACTTTGCAGTTTTTTCCTGGATTTTTCTGTTTGCGCATAGTCACTTTAAGATGTTTTCTTGTTCATGTTTTTGTTTTTTGTTTGTTGCAGTTGCACCCGATTCAAGAGCCGAATGGCTCACAGGGCTACACCTAATACATGAAACTGAAAACTGAAACTTAACATGGCCCATAGAAGGGTTGCTCGTGATGGGTGTTAATGATTTACTGCTTTATAATTGGTTTTTTACCCTTCTATCTGGCAACCAAACTGACACCTTTTTACAAGGAGTCATGTTTGCATAGACCGCAATACCTGCAGTCATAATACAAACAAAATACATAACTCTGATAATGCGCACTGTCCTTGAAGTTGATTGTCTCGGGTGTGAACCAATCAACTTCAAGGACAGTGCGCATTATCAGAGTTATGTATTTTGTTTGTATTATGACTGCAGGTATTGCGGTCTATGCAAACATGACTCCTTGTAAAAAGGTGTCAGTTTTGTTGCCAGATAGAAGGGTAAAAAACCAATTATCATATTTTTACTGGCAAATGAGGTTCCCATAATGATTTACTGCTTGCAGAGGGAACTGTGAGACATTGCGAGGTTGCCAGGTGACCTCCGATTATAACCCTGTTGGCCATGTACGGTGCGAAAGAAGTTCTACATATGTACACACATAAGCCATCATATACATATCCTGCTGGTTGGTGATGGTTCTGGTGGGCGCTCTCTTAAACTCGTTCCATTATTTGGCTGCCAATTCGTTGGTCATGACGTGTGTCCTATTGATGCCAAACTTCCCTTTATTAACTATTTTAATTACAATCATGTCCTCTTCTTGGTTTTTTCGGTAAAGATACGTAGAAGGGAAGCAATAAAATAATAAAAATAAAACATAATATTTTTATTTTTATTATTTTATTACTTCCCTTCTACGTGACTTTACCGAAAAAACCAAGAAGATGAATCCCTGCAGTCACGAAAGCTTTAAATCGAAATACAATCATGTCCTATAAAAAAAATGAAAATGAAGTGGTGAAAAAATAGTACAAATATTACGACGTTTCGATCGCAACACAAGCAATCGTCACCAGGAGACGTGTTATTATTTTTTCTATTTATCTATTTAACCTGACGTTACCGAAAGAACCATAGAATATGAATTCCTGCAGTCACGAAAGTTTTAAGTCAACATTTACAATTATAATAATTTGTTTTTTTACCCTTTTATCTGGCAACAAAACTGACACCTTTTTTTTACAAGGAGTCATGTTTGCATAGACCACAATACCTGCAGTCATAATGCAAACAAAAACACAACTCTGATAATGTATGCACTGTCCTTGAAGTTGATTGGTCCACACCCGAGACAACTTTCCTTAGAGCCTAGTCTCACATGGTGTTGGACCAGATGACGCCAAAAGGCGCACAACTCAAAGACAATGCACCACCAGAGTATGAGAGCTCGGGGTAAGCATTTACACCATTGGAACCTCATTTGCCAGTAAAAAATATGATATTTGGTTTTTTACCCTATTATCTGACAACAAAACTGACACCTGTTTTACAAGGAGTCATGTTTGCAGAGACCACAATACCTGCGGTTATAATGCAAACAAACAACACAACTCTGATAATGTGCACTGTCCTTGAAGTTGATTGGTCCACACCCGAGACAGCTTTCCTTAGAGCCTAGTCTCACATGGTGTTGGACCAGATGACGCCAAAAGGCGCACAACTCAAAGACAATGCACCATCAGAGTATAAGAGCTCGGGGTAAGCATTTACACCATTGGAACCTCATTTGCCAGTAAAAAACAAGATAATTGGGTTTTTTTACCCTTCTATCTGCCAACAAAACTGACATCTTTTTTACAAGGAGTCATGTTTGTTGTGCTATGAAGAAGGGTAATGTCCCGAAACGTTGCCTGTAACATATTTATTTTCCTTTTAAGGCCACAGCATTATTGACAAATGTGTCGTTCACCCGGGGGCTATGCACGCCGGTAATCCGGCACTGCAGAGGCAGCGAGGATTGATTGGTGGATCACCGCGCAACTTTTGCGAGAATTCCCTCCCACGTGGGCACCGAGGTTTTGTTCCCTGGCTCGCCAGGAGGAGGCGCTAGAGCACAAATGTCGACTACACCCGCCTTCTACCGTCTGTCTCGTCGAAGGGATGTGGAGTCCCTTGAAGGCCGTCCATAAATTACGTCACGGACCTAGGAGGAGGGGGGGGGTCAGACATTTGTGACGATGTGTGATAGGGGGGGGGGGGGGGGGGTTGAGAAATGTGACGTCACATAAAAATGCGCAACTTTCAATAAATATAGACAACACGTTCTACTTAATTAAATAGACTTTTTAATAAATGTTTTCTCCTGCAGCGGCACATTAAATACGCACTACAATGACAATAGTTTAAAGCGATTTGAAGCATGTTTTATTTCTTGGGGAGGGTAGAGCTTTGTGATGTCATATTTGAAGGGGGTGGTCTAACTTTTTGTGACGCCGTGTGACGAGGGGGGGGGGGTAAAAAATCGTCCAAAATCACGTGACGTCATTTATGGACGGCCCCTTGACCCCTTTCGTGCCTTATTTTTGTTCAGGTGCTCCGGTTTCCTCCCACTCGTAAACAATTATTAACTGACCCATAACGCCTTAATACATAGAGTACCGCAGAACTTGGGAAATATTTTGCGCCGGTTTGTCGCGTGCCTGCCTTCCTGCTGTCTGCAGTTCCTCGCCTGCGCCTCCAAGTCAATGTCTCACTACGAGAGTGAGCGGACACTCTGTGTGCGTTACAAGTTTTAATTTGTGATTATATTGTGCCTCTAAACCAGGGGTGGGGAACGTCCGGCCCGCGGGCCGTATGAGGCCCACAAAATCATTTGGTCTCTGGCCCTGCCAAGGCACCCGCAGGCGGGACTCGAAATTCAATAAATCTAGGAACAAACCTGGAAAAGCAGTTGCGAGTAGCAGCAACATCATCAACACCAGCTAACATCACACGCCTCGCCAAAGAGAAGCAGTTCCAGCCATCGCATTAGGGGTGAGTTAATTAAATGTTTGACCAAATATAGCAGGCTAATTTTTAAGTTGATCATTTTGTATGGCCCGCGAATGATGTTATATAAATATCCAAATGGCCCTTGGCAGATAAAAAGGTTCCCCACCCCTGAAAGTCTAAACCATCACCACCACCCATTCATCCAGCAGTAGATAGACAATGGCTAAGGATGAATACGTACAAAATACAAATTCTTCCACGGGGTCTGGGGGGGGGTCCCCCCAGACCCCGTGGAAGATTTGGTCCCCCCCAATGTTGACTCAATGGCTACGGCCTTGCCGCATTCACACACCGTGCAAAGGTAATTTATTCCTTCTAGATTTGAAGTGGCTTTGTCCTAATTCGAGATTTGAAGTTTTCGTGACTGCAAGGATCCATACTCTTTGATTTTTTCGGTAAAGTCACGTAGGTGAGAATACAAATAAAAATACCACGACGTTTC